TCGTTTCGTGCAAACCGTGTAGCGTTTCGTGTAAACCGTGCAGCGTTTCGTGCAAACCGTGTAGCATTTCGTGTAAACTGTGCAGCGTTTCGTGTAAGCTCCAAAGCGTTTCGTGCAAACCGTGTAGCGAGCGTGCGAGAAGCGTGTGAGAAACGTGCGACTTTCGTGTAAGAACCGTGTGAGAAACGTGCAACTTTCGTGCAAGAATCGTGTGAGAAACATGTAGGATTCATTCGGAACTCATTTTATTTTAGATATGGCTATTGATGGATCAACATGTCATTCTGTGTTGTTTGTAACTGATATTATTCGAATATATTATACCGGTGGTATTTTAAGAGAGAAAAAACTACGTGCAAGAATCGTGTGAGAAACATGTAGGATTCATTCGGAACTCATTTTATTTTAGATATGGCTATTGATGGATCAACATGTCATTCTGTGTTGTTTGTAACTGATATTATTCGAATATATTATACCGGTGGTATTTTAAGAGAGAAAAAACTACGGAAACAACAAAATAAAATTACTCGGTAATGTATTACATATTTGTTTGATTTTCTTTCTTTTTTATTTAAATAAAGAAGGGAAGAAAATATGTTCAAAGTAATTAATTATACGCACATCAATTTTAAGGTATTTGATTCAATACATTTTTTTAAAGGGAGCAATACTGAACATTGTTCTTAAAAAATCATTAATAATCCGGTCTTGTCCTTATCATTCATTGCCGGACCATTTTACAGTGGTAGTATATAGATATTACAAAAACATATGGGTGATTAATGCAAAATAATAAATAGATAAGGCAGGCGTGAAATATAAAATACTAAGTTTAGTACGTTGCTATAAATGTGAAGTATGGGAATTCTAGGCCGGGGAGCACAATTAATTTTTTTCTTTATAAACGAACATAATTTTCTTATATTACAAGATTGTGATACAAATAATTTTTAAACGATGAGTCATTTATAGTGTTTTTATGCATAAAATTGGTTGATTAATAATTGTCTTATAAATGAATCATAATTCACATGCATCGGCAAATACTTAAATATTTCCGGGGAGAGGGGGGGGGGTGTTCAAATGTAAACAAAAACTTTGAGTTTTTGTTATTAATATTTTTTTATAGATAATTTTCATTTTAAAGAAAATATTTTTTTTTTTTGGGAGTCCGCCTGATGCACCCCTTAAAAATGTATTGGAATCTTCTTTACACTTCCGACACTCTTCTTACGACTGTGATCAAGGTCATTTACAACAACGATCACGGGCTTCGCGTGCCGGGAACTGAAAATTTGTTCTGCTACATGTATATCTCTTGTCAATCATGGCTTTGATGACACCCGACAATAACGATTGATTTTTAATTCGTGAAGTTTTATAATTTTATTAGTATTTAATAGGTAAAAATAAATACTCGTGGATTTTATTTCTTAAATTTATCCAATTCTCTGTAAACAGTGAATTAATTTGCCAGTGTATTCGAGAATAATAAAATATAAAGAAAAAAATCCGGAGTAATTATATATTAGTTGTTTTATTAATCAAGCAGTTTTAAAGCATATTTTTTAGTTTTTAGGACACTGGACATGTATTCATGTGTATTGAATGTATTGTTAAGAGCCGCGACTATTGATTACTTTTTTTTTTGTCTTGACGGGATTTGAAATCAAGGATTTTACAAGGTGGTGGGTATATTGTTTTTAATTGATAAACACAATGCCTCAAAATGGAGAACTAAAGCATTACAATACCTTTTCCCCCGGCTTCTCTACCATATTAAATTTAAATGATAAGTCAAAGTCTGATTCTGCTATGAAGCGTTATATTTACCATTCTAATTAAAGTGCTGATAATGAATTACATGTATCTGGTCCCGCTGGAGATATGGATATCCTTTTTTTCTTAGAATGGGCATTTGTTTCTATAATAATTTTTTCCCAATGGTATACTTACTGAAACAAGTACCAGTTATATTTAGCCATGAACAGAAGAAAGATCTCGGTAATCTACCCCCCCCCCCCCCCCCATCCTGCACAATGTTCATATTTAATTTACTGTACATATTACCTTTGCAAATTATAAACAAAACCTAATTCAATCAAATGAAAGTATTTATTTACATGTACTAAATCAAAAAAAGTGAATAAATCATTCAATAATAAAAAAAAAAAAGAAAAGAAAAGGAAAGAAAATCAATCCGTTTACAGAAATCATACACAATTTAATCAATATGTTTTTTTTATTATTTTTTTTTTCAAATCAATAACTGGGTTTATTTGTCAGTAATAAAACGATTTGTTAATATCAAACTATAATTGTAAAAACATTGAATGCTGTAAAAGATTATGAATTACAAATATAATTATTTTTTTTTCAGTGCGTAGAGTCTAGTGAAAAAGTTTTGTACATAGACGATGATAGGCATTTCACCGGGCGCGTCACATACTCATGATCAATTACAACTATAATATTAAATACAACTTAGCACCGTGTATTTTTATCTGTTAATATAGTACTGGTGTAGCGAGTTCTAATCCTAACTTAATCTGAATGATTGCAATTCTAAACTAATCTTTGATTAATCCGTAATTTACTTAATTTAAATAAAGTCTGAGAGATTCCGAATAGAAAATCCAGATCGAGGCCAAAACGTGCGAGAATCGTGTACAAAGCGTGTGAGAAACGTGTACAAAGCGTTTCGTGCAGGCTTTCGTGTAAACCGTGCAGCCTTTCGTGCAAAGCGTTTCGTGTAAACCGTGTAGCGTTTCGTGTAAACCGTGCAGCGTTTCTTGCAAACTGTGTAGCGAGCGTGTACTGTTCGTGCAGCGTGCGTGTGGGGTAGTAGCACGTTTCAGGGTCTGTATGATTGAAAGGTCGAAGTAGCACTTGTACTCTAAAAAGGGTAGTCTATAATTTAATATTTATATAAAATATGAGATAGCACTTTCTCTGGATTAAAAGTTAAACTTTATAATATCATAGTTTTATAGTATATTAACTCATTAAAAGGAATAAACATACTAAAGTTAAAACATAAGAAACAGAAAATTGAAAACTTAAAAACTAAAAAAGAACTGAAATTAAAACTAAAGATTTAAGATCTGTAGGAGCCACATTTACAGGAATCTCCATTCAAGTTATTAATAAGACTTTTAATCTGATTTATTGTAGATGCATTTCTAATGTCTTCTGGGAGTTCATTCCAGAGTTTGGCTCCTGCATATCTAAAAGAGTGTAGGCCATGTTTAGTAGTTCTTACCCTAGGTACCTGCACTGTATTACTTTTCCTAAAATTATATGATGTTTCTTTAAAAGTGAATAGATCAGACAGAAAAGCTGGGCTTTCATTTTTTAAAATTTTAAAAACTTCTGTAGCCATTGTTCTTATTCTTCTAATTTTTAAAGTTGGTAAACCTGACTTAAGTAATAATTCTTCATAAGTACTGTTTCCATCATCGTAAATAAATCTGAGAGCCCTTTCCTGAATTTTTTCAATTTTTCTTGTGTTATTTTCTCCACAGAAATGCCATACAACAGGACAATAATTAAAATTACTCATAATAAAAGAATAATAGATAGTTAATTTGCCCTGTTTAGTTAGGTGCTTACCTATCCATTTTAATACATTAAGTTGTCTTGCTGCTTTTTTGCAAATATTTGAAATATGGCTATTGAGTTTTAATTGGCTATCAATTGTCACACCCAGGAGCTTAACCTCTTCCTCACATTTTATATTAGTACCATCCAAATAGATAGTGATGTTTTCTTTACAGGTTTTATTTCCTATTGAAAGTGCCTGAAATTTTTCTGGATTTGCTTTCATGTGATTGTTTGAGAACCAATTTATTAGATTTAGGCTTTCTTCTTCTAAAACTTTAGACTGGCTATCTGAAAAAGTTTTCCTCAGCTCTGATATAGGGTACCTCTTTTGTCTGTATAATTCCTTTTACAGTTTTCAAGTTAAAATCTTTTTTATTTTGCAGATCAATTGTACATATAAATGTATAAGATTACTTGGATTTTAATTTTGATAATTTTTGAGGAAAATACTAGCTTCTGAACTTGGTTATTTTTTTTAAATTATTGCATATAAGATACCCAATTGGTCTGGATATCTTCTACAGTTTTCAAGATAGGAACTTTTTTTTACTCCCTTCAAACAAAGATAAGAATCCCCTATCTGCCTGTCTGCCCACTCACCTGTTTGTGCATCTGTCCCTGCAAACTACTCCGAACTATAACTTTGTTAATGGAGAAAGGCTGAAAGCTCATACTTAGCACAGAAATTGTTTATGACCACCTGATGGTGAGTCATGATCTTGACAAAATTTATCAAATTGTATCAAATTTTTCTCCATGCTAAAACTTTGATATTGTAATGGAGAATCACTGAAAGCTTACACTGAGTACAATGATAGATTATATGTATGATCCTAGGTTGTGCCTTGACCTTGACACAAGGTCATTCTGACAAATTCAAGGTCAATGGCAGAAAAGGTATAAAATTCTTATCCGGGCTATAATTTTGTAATCGAGAATCACTGGAAGCTCATACTTAGTGCAGGGATTGATTTTGACACAAGGGAAAGTCATGACCTTAACCCAAGGTCATTCCAGTAAGTTCATAGTCACTGGCAGAAAAATATAAAACTTGTCCTGGCTAAACCTTTGTAATGGAGAATTATTGAAAGCACTTATACTTAGTACAAAAATTGCCAATGTCTTTTGGGTTTGTCATGACTTTGACCAAAGGTTAAAGGCAGAAAAGTATAAAATTCATTCAGTTCATTCCAGCAAGTTCAAGGTCATTGGTATAAAAAATGAAAATTTATAACAAGTTTATAATATTCTAGAGAAATACAAGTTCTGTTCACACAAAGAAAACCCAGTTTGCTGTCACATTGACGGCTTTCCACTTGTCATGAAAATACTGCCATGTAGGAACTTTTCAGACTAATTAAATACAAATATTAATTTAATTAAAATCATTACAGGTATTGTCCACAATGCAAAAAACACCAGCCTGCCACTAAAAAGTTTGATTTGTGGAATCTGCCAGAAATATTGATTGTTCATTTGAAGAGATTTTCATACAATCGGTTTTACAGAGATAAAATTGATGCACTTGTGGAATTTCCTGTCAGGTTTGTATCATATGTTTTCATAATTTTTACGTCTTTTTTTACACAAATTTCTTTGAGGGAAATACACAATGTCTTAAATTTATCCTCAATTTGTTGCCATATTTGGCAGATAAATCTTAAAAGTCCTAGGATACTGGTGGACATTTAAGACTAAGCACTCATGTAGCCCTAGCTAACTAGACTTTAGGCCAACTGAATAAATCAGCTGATTTATTGCTACCAAGGCCTTTCTTTATTAGGACTATGCATGAAAATGTGAGAGCCCAACAGGAATCAGTCCATCCAGCTATCCATATGTGTCTGTCTACACTTGTTTTCAATGAAATGTTTTCAGTTTTTTAGCTCACCTGAGCCAAAAGCTCAAGTGAGCTTTTCTGATCACCTGTTGTCCATCCTTCTGTAAACTTTTCACATTTTCATTTTTTTAAGAACCACAGGGCCAAATTTAACCAAAGTTGGTACAAAGCATCCTTGGGTGGAGGGGAGTTTAAATTGTTAAAATGAAGGGCCAAGCCCCTTCCAAGGGGAGATAATCAAAAAAGACAAAAATAGGGTGGGGTCATTAAAAAATTCTTCTCAAGAACCACAGGGCCAGAAAAGCTGGAATTTATTTGGAAGCTTCTTGAGGTGTGTAGATTCTACATTAATATTGTTCAAATCATGGCCTTGGGGCTAGCGTGGGACCACAATAGGGAATCAAAGTTTTATATTGAAATATAGAGGAAAAAATCTTTTAAAAACTTCTTCTCATGAACCACTGGGCCAGAAAAGCTGAAACTTATGTGAAAACTTCCTGAGGTAGTGTAGATTCTAAATTGTTCAAATCGTAGCCCCAGGGATAGAGTGGGGCTACAGTAGGGAATCAAATTTTTACCTTGAAATATTTAGTAAAATCTTTAAAATTATTCTTCTGAAGAACTACTGGAACAGAAAAGGCGAAACTTATGTGGAAGCTTCCTGGGTTAGTGTAGATTCTAAATTGTACAAATCAGGACAACCCCCCCCCCTGGGGGGGGGGGGGGGGGGTAGGGTGGGGCCACAATAGGGAATCAAAGTTTTACTTTGAAATATATAGGAAAAATCTTCCCAATAACCACTGGGCAAGAAAAACTGAAATTTATACGGAATCTTCCTGAGGTAGTGTAGATTCTAAATTGTTCAAATTATGACCCCTGAGGGGTAGGGTGGGGCCACAATAAGTAGTTTCAGCAGGGAAATTCTGGTGAAGAACAGCAGGGCCAAAATTTCTCAGGTGAGCATTGTGACCCATGGGCCTCTTATTTACACAGGTATTTCACTGCAAAACCAAGACACCTATAGATTTTGAGTTCATATACTTTTTGTCTCTCTGTTTATATGTTTAAATGTGAAAAAATATGCTGTATATTGGCACTCTGAACTATTAGAGCAGCTCAAAGGTCAAGGACCACAGGTTCAGTAACCATGGCAATTTACAAAAGCCATAATGCCAAGCAATATATGCACAAAATATCAAATCCATATCTCTTACAGTTCTTCAGATATAATGTGTGACAAACGGATAGCTAGACAGACAGAGGCCAGGTTAAGTGATCCCTAAGTGTTGCTCTGCTCTGCAGGTACCAAAAAAATCTTCTTTCAGTCCACTGGGCTTGGGGAAAAAAAATGAATTCATGCTCTCTGAAATATTCAATATGTTGAATATGTATTCAAGATTTTTCAAATTATGGTCCCTTGGGGAAGGGTGGGGATGCAGGATCAAGGTTTTACATGGCAATAGATAGGGGAAAATGTAAAAAAAAAATTCTCAAGAACATCAGGACTGTGATAATTTAAGTGAGGATATATACTGTTATGGATGAGAATTAAGGACCTTACCTTCACTGCACATATTGTTGTCTATCAAATTCTTGCCAGCTAAAAATGTACATATTGACACTAGAAAAGGATGTGCTTATCTCCTGTACATATTGTTGCTCCACATTTAGGGTTTTAAGGATATTTTAGCTCACCTGAGCTAACAGAAGATAAACATAATAATTTAAACAACTTACCTATTTTGGCATAGAAAATGTTCATAACTTGATTCATTGAATCACAGATATTCTGATAAGAGAGATCACTTTTAATGACATAAATGTTTATTATTCCTGTATGAATTTGTTAAGTTGAAGTGTCTTTTTTCTCCAATTTTGCCCCACAAGCTTATGTTATAACTGTTTGTATTTTACTTAACAAATACATTTCTTTTGGAAATCATAAGAGTTAAAGAAACATTTTATATGAGTGAGCAGAGGGTTTATGAACCTTAAATTTGATAAAAATATGAAAAAAATTTTCTAAGAAAATGGACAATTGTACACCTGAAGGACTTTTTTAAACTCACCTCAACGAAGTTGGGAGGAGCTTATGTGATACCCTCAGCGTCCCAGGTTAAAGTTTTTGGAGCAGTTTTATTTTTGATTACTTCTATGCCATACATTAATCAGAGATGCATGGAAGATGCTTCTAGTATGTTTCATTGTTTCAGATGAAGAATGACCATGTTAATGTTTTTGGAGCAGATCTCATTTCCAAGTAACTATAAGCCCTATATTGACCAAACTTGCATGGATGATGGATGATACATCTAAGGCTTGCTTCGAATGCTGGATCTGACCTACATTTTCCAGATGAATGACCATGTTAAAGTTTTTGGCACAGGTCCATTTCCAAAAATGTATAAGGCCTATCTGAGCCAAACTATCAGATCAAAATTGTATAAATGTTGCATCTTGTGATGTACACTACTAGATTATTAGTTTAATGTTGGACTTTGCCTTACTTATTCGTTGAGGTGAGCTCTGTGATCTCTGATTACCTATGTTTATAATTCCACCAAAACTTCAATTATAGATTAAAATTTTAATGAATGATTCAAAGGAAATATAGGGCAAGGTTGTCATCAAAGTCCATTGATTTAGTTCATTTGTATATATTTATATATTTTTAAAAAATATAGTCTTTTGGTTATATAAAAAACAAGATGTGTTTTTGAAACACTGATGTCCCAATATGGCAGCTTATGGTGAAGGTTAGATTTCTCAAAGGCAAGGCAATCTGCAGGTCAAGAGATAAAAAATGTTGGTACCCAAAGAAAGGTCTGTCTCGAGAAATATACATGTGAAATTTGAAAGACCTAGCACCAGCCGTTGAAAAGTTATGGCGAACATTAAGGTTTTTTATTAAAGGAGGTAAAATGTCAAGGTCAAGGTTAAAATGGGGCCCCAAGGGGAGGTCTTGTCTTGTGAAATGTGAAAGCCCTAGAACCAAACATTCACATGTTATAGCCAAGGTTAGAATTTTTAATAGTAGGTCAAACTCTAAGGTCAAGGTTAATGCCAAAATTGTTGGTATTCCAAGGAAACTCTTGTCAAAAGGAATGCACCAATTGTTCAAAAGTTATGGCCAAGGTTAAAGTTTTTCAAAAGTAGGTCAAACTCCTTGGTCAAGGTCAAAGGGTCAAAGTGGTTGGTATCCAAAAGAAGGTCTTGTCACAAGAATTACATATTTGAAGTATGAAAGCCCTAGCACCAACTGTTCAAAAGTTATGGCCAAGGTTAAAGTTTTTCAAAAGTAGATCAAACTCCTACGTCAAGGTCAAGAGGTCAAAGTGGTTGGTATTCAAAGGAAGGTCTTGTAACAAGGAATAAGCATTTGAAATATGAAAGCCCTAGCACCAACTGTTCAAAAGTTATGGCAAAGGTTAAAGTTTTTGCAAAAGTGGGTCAAACTTCGAGGTAAAAGGGTCAAAGTGGTTGGTATCTAAAGGAAGGTCTTGTCACAAGGAATTCACATGTGAAGTTTGAAAGCCTTAGCACCAACTGTTCAAAAGTTATGGCCAAGGTTAAAGTCTCAAAAAATTTTGCAAAAGTAGGTCAAACTCCAAGATCAAGGTCAAAAGGTCAAATATGATGTTTCCAAAAAAAGATATTGTCACAAGGAATACACATGTGAAATATTAAAGTCATAGCTCCAACCAATCAAAAGTTACAGGCAAGGTTAAAGTTTTTGCAGACAAACAGACAGACAGACCGACGAACAGGGCAATATAAAATACAAGACTACTGTCTTGAAATATAAGCGATATTTGGGCAAGGATAAGAAAACGTGATAGAGGGCGAGGCTTGCCGAGCCCAAATATCGCTTGTATTTCAAGACAGTATCCATGTATTTTGTTTATCCTGCAACATAATTTTTACTTGACTTCCAAAAAGAGCTATTTTCAACCGATTTAGGTACACTCTGCAGTTAAAACTAAGACTCCATGGCATAAACATTGCAATATACATGACGTCACAATGCTTTTAGAACGTCGGAATACATGCGCAAGGCTTTATTAGGGCATTGACCGAATAAAGCTTTGGTTTATTAGGTTACCTTTATTAGGTCAATGCAAAGGGTAGTTGCAGGATAAACAAGATGTGTTTGTGAAACACTGATGCCCCATATGGCAGCTTATGGTGAAGGTTACAGTTTCTCAAATGCAAGTCAAACTCTAGGTCAAGAAATCAAAAATGTTGGTACCCAAAGAAGGTCTCGAGAAATATACCTGTGAAATATGAAAGCCCTAGTACAAACCGTTGAAAAGTTATGGCAAAGGTAAAAGTTTTTTCAAAGTAAGTAAAAAGGCAAGGTCAAGGTCAAATGGTACCCAAGGGAAGGTCTTGTCACAAGTGATACACATGATCGTGAAACGTGAAAGCCCGAGAACCAAACGTTCAAATGTTATGGCCAAGGTTTAAATTTTTCAAAAGTAGGACAAACTCCAAGGTCAAGGTCAATGCCAAAATTGATGGTATCCAAAGGAAGGTCTTGTCACAAGGAATATACATGTGAAGTATGAAAGCCCTAACACCAACTGTTCAAAAGTTATGGCCAAGATTAAAGTTTTTCAAAAGTAGGTCAAACTCCAAGGTCAAAGGGTGAAAGTTGTTGGTATCTAAAGGAAGTTCTTGTCACAAGAAATGGATATGTGAAGT